TCCCCATCTCCCTCTCCCTCCCTCCCCTCATCTCCCTCTCCTTGCCTCCCCTCCACCTCCCTCTCCCTCCCCGCCCCACTATTTCCATTTCACAGCGCTGCTTTCTATCTGAAATCAGTCTTCTTGTTGACTTGCTCGTGAATTTTCTTCCTTACTAAAGGTACATTCCAGGAGAACAGGGACCATGTCTGTCTGGCTGGTTTGCTGCCATTTCCCCAGCCTCTGATGGATCCTAGGTGCTAGGTGAATAGTTGGCAAGTGAATGAAGGATTCACAGTTAGCCCGGGGAAGGGCAGGACGAAGAACAATACCCTCGTGAGGGAACAGCCACGTGGCACGGTTCAGCTCTGGGCCTTGGCGGCAGCTGTGCCGGGCAGTGGTTGGGCTAGAGTGGGAGGTGCATTCCCTCTGACTCTGTGTCCTGGCTGCAGGCGGCTGGTGGAGCGGCTGGAGACCCTGCGGGGCAACGTGATGGGGAACGGCCTGTCCCAGTGTCTGCTCTGCGGGGAGGTGCTGGGCTTCCTGGGCAGCTCCTCAGTGTTCTGCAAAGACTGCAGGAAGGTAAGACCCTGCTCCTGCTCCATCCTGTCCTTCCGCCTTCCCAGCCACGATTCTGGACCAGCCCTGCTGCTCTGTGGCTTGTGCGCTGGGTTGTGGTACCCTTGACCTCTTGGCAAGGACGAAGGAAAACTAAACGTCCTGATGTCTAGGGCCGGCTCTGGGTCGTGTAGCTTAGGTGTATCTTCTGGCTCTCCCACTGGATTCACACCCGAGCTTTGAGACCCAGCGCTGCTGTTAGAAGTCAGGGTGTGAATCTAGCTCTTCTGTGACCTCAGAAAACCTATTCACTATCTCAGACCTGAGGTTCCTCATCTGTAAAATACGGTAATGATACCATGCACCTCACTGTGCTCCGAGGGTTACGAATCATTAAAGGCGAAGCTCTTACAACTTTGCCTGGCACATAGGCGCTCAAATGGTATCGTCTCCAGAATATATTAAGGCAACAAGAAAAACATGTTTTTAGTTGTTATTGGATAAATCGTATTTTCCTCAAGGCCAGGTCGTATGCTAGGAGGCACTGTGTATTCTGTTGGTCTGCTCTGCTCTTCATCCCTGGGTACTCAAAGGAGAATGATCTTTGCAGGAGATCAAATCGATTTTCTCTTTATACTAAACTGTGCCACATGTTAAATTGTTTTGTAGTGATTCTGGGACTTTTCAAATACGACTTTTAGTTTTTTCTGGAGTTTCAACTTGCCTTTCTTTTTCTTATTGCTGAGAGAATAATGCTCCTTCCAATCCTCAGGATTAGTTAGCATCTCAAGTTCACTATCATATGGAGCCTCTTTTTTTTTTTTTTCCTGGAATAAACCCTCCTAGATTCTCCCTCCTGCTCCCTCCTAGGCTGGTAACTGCACAGCTGTTATAATGGGACTCCCCTTTGCTACCCTCCTCGACTAGACACTGTTCTCTTTTTTGTTTTCATCTTAGTTTTGCCGGAACTCGTCCTCAAGTAACTTCCATGGGCTACTCATGGTTTTTGTTGTTGTTGTTTTTGTTTTTTAAGACAGAGTCTCACTCTGTCGCCCAGGCTGGAGTGCAAATGGCGTGATATCAGCCCACTGCCACCTCCACCTCCTGGGTTCAAGTGATTCTCCTGCCTCAGCCTCCTGAGTAGCTGGGATTACAGGCGCGCACCACCACACACAGCTAATTTTTGTATTTTAGTAGAGAAGGGGTTTCGCCATGTTGGCCAGGATGGTCTCCAACTCCTAACCTCAGCTGATCCACCGGCCTCAGCCTCCCAAAGTGCTGGGATTACAGGCGTGAGCCACTGCCCGGCTGCTGGTCATGGTTTTAAGACTGGAGTTATTATACTAAAGAAGACAGAGGAGGGACTTTCTTGAGATAATAGTGGGCAAGGGAGCTTAAAAACAAGTAACGACCAAGTGAACAAGATGGTTTCAGGACACAGCTCCGGGAGGAAATAACGGGGGGTGGGGAGGTGGGGGATGGGAAGTGCTGAGAGGACCAGGAGAGATGGGGAAGTCAGGATAAATAAACATGGACGTGGAAGATAGAGGCCATTGGCAACTTCGTAAAGGCATTTTCAGTGGCATTCAAAAGCTCGATGAGAAAACCAAAGGTACAGTGAGGTTAATGTGCCCAGTTAACAGGTGGGAAAGCCAGGATTTCAGCTGCGGTCATTTTTTTTCCTGCTCTGTCATATGTGGTAAACCGGGCTGAGGAATGTGGATTAATTGGTCCAAGAATACTGGAGGGGAGGTGGGGGCTGGTGTCGGGCTGTGCTGGCTCCTCCTCCAGCCCTGCAAAGGCCCTGGACTACGGGTCAATGTAGTTGGGGGCGTGGGGACTTGGGAAGGTCCGGCTTCCAGGACTTGGGCGGTGAGGTTATGTTTTGTGACTCCTGCTGGGAGAACGGAACCTGGCAGCCTGTTTCCTCCTCTGTCTCTCAACCTCACAGCTGCTGTGAATATTCCAGATACAGGGGATCATAAAGAGGCACAGAGCCGGCCTGCTTGCCCCGGACGGTCCAGGGCCCGGGCCACAGAGGCAGCTGCTGGCCTGGCTGTGCAGCAGCTAACACAGCTGCTCCCTGGGGCCACATCTTAGGCAACAGTGGCCGTCCAGGGGAGGACCTCAGCTGGAAGTGGGTCCCCAGGCCACTCTGGAGCTCTGGGCTGCTCCAGGCATTTCCGTTGAAATGGTTCTTAGCATTCAGCAGGCTGAGGACTCAGTCCTGGCGTGGGTGGTGAGGCCGGAGAGCTCTGAGCTTCTGAGGGTCGTGTTCCAGGATGGAGGCAGGAAGAGAGGGTGTTAGGAAACACAGCTGGATGGTGGGCATTTGGGGAGTTGGAGGGTTCACACTTCCTTCTTGGAGGAGATTATGTGCATTCATTCTTTAATTAATAGCCCACTGTGTGAAGGCCCTGTTCTGGGTGCTGGTGATGCCGTGAACGAGACAGACAGAGTCGTCGCTGTCACGGAGATGACTTTCCAGGGGTGGGGTAATAGAGAAGACAAATGGAGCTCAGAGAGGGTCCCCAGAGCCTCTCCCTAGGTACGCTGCGTGGTGCTCTACTTCATGTTATACCACTCATGAGGTAGCACTCAGTACATTGAGGAACAGAGAAGACAAATGGATAAACACGAAGTAGCAATCGGACACCGAGAATTAACGCAGAGTGCATAGGGAGAGGCTTCTGGGCCCTTTCTGACCTCACGCCCACACAGAGCACCTAGGGAGAGGCTTTGGCGCCCTCTCTGACCTCAGGCCATGTTCAAGAGACAGATGATGGCGTCTGGGACAGAGAGAGTGAGCGGCAGGGTGGCCCATCACACACAGTTTGCCAGCAAGGCCAGGAGTTGGGATTTCACCGGGAGTTTAACGGGATGTCAGTCGAGAGTTTTAAGCTGGGGTGTGATGGGATCTGATTTTAAGAGATGACCCTGGCGCTGGAGACAAGTCAGGTGGCGATGGCCGTCCCTGGGGGACGAGCTGGAGACAAGTCAGGTGGCAATGGCCGTCCCTGGGGGATGATAGGGTTAGAACAAGGCTATGCAGGGACTGAGGTCATTTGCTGAGACACAGCGCCAGCCTCTTTGGTGTATTCTGAGCAGATGGGGAGGAGTTAGAGGGCGTGAATAAGGGTTCTAGGAAGGAAAGAGCCCTGGACTGCAGGGGCCAGCCAGGGTGAGAGGCCGCTCCGTCCACCTGAGCAGAAGGGGGCAGCAGGTGCTCCTGGACTGGCCGGTGAGTTCTATACCCACGCAGAGGACACGCGATGCTGAGAGCTCATGACCGGATGGGAGGGGCTCATCCATACTTTGAGGAGTGACTCCGTGTTCTGCAAGGGCCTGGCAGGGCAGCTTCTCTCTTCCCTGGCCCCAAGATTGTGAGGTGGCCGTGCTCTGAGCTGCTGAGCCCGACAGACTTGGGTTGAGGTCCCCGCGTGGCCCCGGTGGAGCAGTCGTGGACAAGTCACTTCACATCTCTGGGCCTCTGTTTTGCCATCTGTAAAATGGAGTCATCTGTAAAATGGCATCATCAAGCTTCCCTCATCTTGATGGACGAGTGAGTTAGTGCAGGCGAGGCCTTGGCAGACTGCCCGGCCCATCACCAGCCGGCAGTGAAGGCGCCTGTGACTGCTGCTCACCCTCGCAGGGCCCTGCCTGCGGAGGCTGCACGCGTTTTATGAGGATGGAGCGGGTCCCGGACATCTGAAAGAGGCTGAGTGACTCCCTGGGTCATAACTCAGGCCGCCACAACAAAACGCCACGGACTGAACTGGGCGCCCTCAGCCGTGGACACATTTCATTGGAGGCACAAAACTGAGACCCAGGTGTTGGCTGATTCTGTGTCTGGTGAGGGTGCTCTTCCCAGCATGCAGACAGCTGCCTTCTTGTGGCCCACGTGTCGAGAGGAGAGGGCTGTAGTCTGTCCTCCTCCTCTTGCTTCTTGTTTTTTGACAGGGTCTCACTGTCACCCAGACTGGCGTGCAGCGGCGTGGTCATTGCTCACTGCAGCCTCCACTCCTGGGCTCAAGCAATCTTCCCGCCCGAGCTTCCCGGGTAGCTGAGACAACAGATGTGTGCCACCACGCCTGCCTAATTTTATGTATTTTGTAGACACAGGGCATCGTTCTGTTGCCCAGGTTGGTCTCAAACGGGCCCTCAAGCAATTCTCCACCTCAGCTTCCCACAGTGCTGGGATGACAGACCTGAGCCACGCCCGACCTCTTCCTTTTCTTATGGAGATGCTAGTTCTATTGGATTAGGGCCCCACCCTTTTGACCTCATTTTACCTAAATTACCTCCTAACGACCCTCTCTTCAAATACAGCCCCTGGGGGACAGAGTTCAGCCCCCAGCACTGGAATTCTCTTTGTCTTAAACTTAGAACTGGAGCTCCCACAGTTGTCCCGTTGTGTCCGTAGTGTACACGAAAGCCCGGAAGCCCTTGTAGCTCCAGCACCGGATTCCCGAGCCGGTAGGGAAGCCCTCAGTTTCTGTGCAGGTTACTTAGTAAATGTCTCAGTCGCTTAGCCTGCTGTGTGCCAGTCCTGGGTTAGGGAGATCCAAAAAGAGAGATGTTCAGAATGATCTCTTCCCGCATGGCCTCAAGGTCACGATGGGCAGATGGGATTCTCTAGAGTGACGTGCACCGTGGCTGGGACTGGAGTTCCCAGGACTCAGAGCAGCCGGGAGGGCTGCCTGGAGGAAGGGGCCCCTGAAGGCCGGGCAGGCTTCTGCAAGGCCAAGGGCAGAAGGAAGGGCGTCTGCGGAGGGGCAGAACACATAGGCCGAGGCTGGAAGCTGGAAACGGGCTGGGTTGGGCAAGCGCCTCCCTGGCTGGAGTGTGAGGGAGGTGCCCGCGAGGCAGAGGCGTGTGCTGGAGGAAAAAGCAACACAGGATCTGACTGGGGAGCAGTGACCTCGGAGGAGGGAGGGGCGTGCTCCAGCTGCCTCCAAGGCTGAGATCCCAGGGACCTGAAAACGGAGGGCAGAGCTGGGATCTTTGGGACGCTGAGCTGTAGG